ATAACTGAGTTCAAAATTGAGTTGCACGAATTTTTGTAAATTAAATTCTTTGCAGTCTGTTTATTAATTGTAAATGAAAACTGTTAAAATGCATTGCTGTCTCTTAAGGCTGACTGAGACTGAGAACATTACTTAAAGTACCTTTCTTTGTTATTTCTTTGAATATTTAACTGATCTACTGTTGTCTAAACTCTGCTTAAACTTCCCTAACTTGAAGCTTATCTAAAACTTTTCAGCAAGTGTCATTGCAACTTGAAGTAAACAACTGGAAACTCATTTTCCTTTTTTCGGGCAATTAAAATGTGCTAATGAGCGTTTCGCGCACACATGTTGAGTGAAGTGAGTAAAATTAAAACTCTTGACTGATTGGATTTCTGTTGAACGCCACGAAAAACGGCTCTGTGGGGCGACAAAATTGCAAAAACCACACCACATGAGTGCTGCCGTAAAGAAAAGAGAAAATCTTTCCTTGCAATGCCAAAGACTAAATACACTATGAGAGCATACTAACTAAATTGATTGTTCAAATTCACAATAATATAATGTGGGTTTACTTTAGGCAATATTTTTTTTTTTTTTAGAAAAAACTAGTCGCTTTTCGCTCAATTGTCTCCAGCTTTAAATATACTGTTCAGATTTCAACTAAAATATATAAAATATGAACAGCTTTTGACTAGTCGGCTCAAGTAAAAGTAAAAGTTTCTCATGTAATTCGTATGATATATGCCATACTGATTCGATCTAGCTGGCTTAGTTACAGTCTGCGCTTGAAAGAAGCATCTGTGGTAAGTTAAACTTAGCCATAGACTCGAAATTAATAGATACAATGCCGTTGTGTCTATTAGCTCGTTCCAATTATGTGTAATATATAATCTTGTACACGTTTTGGCATAAAATTCAAACACCTTCTGTGAGTGTATTAAAATAAAATTATGCGCCGTGTGTTGCGGGGGGTCTCTAATGATAATAGCAATAATAATGATGATGAAACTGTTTTCACAACACCAACACCTACCTGCCTTTGGATTTGAGTTTGACTTTGCTGCTGCTGCCTTTGGCGGTGATGGTGATGTTGATGGTGGTGCTCGCAGACGACAATTTGACGTGAGAGTGTTGTGCTGCTGACTAGAAAATGGCATTTTAGGCAGAGTGAAAGCAGCGAACCGTCAGCGTTCCGACTGGCACTCGTCTGCACTTGATGTTTGTTTTTCCTTTGCCTGCCATAAACGGAAAAACTCCGCACGTCTATGTATGACAACGACGAAAATTGACGTATAAAGTCAACGCTGCCGTCAACAAAAGTCTCTCAACGCATGACAGCATTTTTAAGCCAGAGATGTCAGCGTTTCTCTGCAACACATACACCCAACCTTCCATCCAACCATTCACCCATCCAGCAGCATCATATGACCCCCCCCGTGTGTGTGTGTGTGTGTGTGTGTGTGTGTGTGTCTGTGTCACGTACAGCATTTAGCATTTATTGTGCCGCTTCTGAGTTTCTTTTTGTTTGCTTTCTGAGATCAAGTCAAAAAAAATTCAATTGGTTTTCTTTTCTATTTTTTCTTTGGCCAAGACAATGTGTGCAAATACTATATGTAGGTATAATATCAAATGGCAACAACTGTTGGCCACAAAATTATTATGATCCCACAATGCTGTGCGCCCTAAAGCAGGCAACAGTTTTTGACTATGCCCCTAACTTGATTAAAGTCTGACAGTTTTTGATAACATAAACCAAAAGTTATGCCAAAAATTGTGCTGAAAATTAAATAAACTAATGCTTGATGCCAGCTGCTGGACTTCTAGTAAAAACTATTTAATTTCATTTGCACACACAAAATTAAATATATCAACAGAGCGAAATACGAACTTATTACAATTATAAAACTAGACATTTTTGGTTTAGAGAAAATGTATTAATTTCTCTAAATTGTTCATTAAAAATTGTTAAAAATAAAATATTTCTTGTTTTGCAATGCACAAACTCTTTTCGTCAAACTTCTAAAGACCCATTCCTTTTTTTAGCCAGCCAAAGATGAGCGATTAACTTTCTCTGGCCCGCATATGAAGTTAGTTTTTATTATCGTTCCATGAAAATCTAATAAATTTCTACACAGAATGCACATTTTTAGCAGAAATAGCCCGCATATGCAATTCATTTTGTTTGCCATCTTGATGAAAAAAGAAGAAGAAAGAGAACATATAAAACTCTGTCTTTATATCTTGATGATTTGTGGCGTTGTTTTTCTCATTGCCAGGAAATTAGAGAATTGGCACACACACATACAGACGTACACACGTGCACACATGCATGAGCAAGTGTGCCTGAACAATTGTGATAGTATGTGGGAAAAGCTAAAAGAAATTAGAAAGCAAACCGGTTGCCAGTCAGACTTGGCATTTATATGCGAGTTAATTAAAAGAAAACTAGTTACGACTATGCGTTGCCTTTTAAAGTTTTTTTCCTTCTTCTTCTTCGGTTTTTGCGTCGCGCAAGAAAAAGTCATTAAAAGCTGATGCCAAGTACGCGCATACAGTGCGTATGATTGATAATGAGTCTGCAGCCGCAGCTGATGCAGCAGTCGGAGGCTGGGTCGCGGTCTTGTAGACTCAATGCCATTGGGTTGCCCGACGACGGGTGCAGATGTCTTCATCTTGGCTCTGTGTCGTGGCATGCAATGCAAAGAATTTACAATGCCTGTAACGGAACTTATTATTTCATTGCTGCACGCCGCCCGCCGTCTGCTGCCTGTTGCCTGCTCTCTGTTCGTGTCTAGCCACAGCAGCTCACAGCATGCGGCAGGCGGGGGGCGACCGCCGGATGACAACTCCAAGCTGTCGTCTTTAACGTATTCCAGTCATGTGTTGTGTGCTGCCTCAAGACAACCTCCGGTTCACACTCCCAGCTCCCAGAGACTGTTGACAGTCTCATGGCTTGACTTTTAGATGTGCGTGCTCTGTCTGAGTCGAAATCAAACCCATCCACTGCCTTTTATTTTTATTGCACAATTTTCATACCTGTGCCGCAATTCACATTTTTATGGCTAACATTGAAAATACTTGTAGGCCAGGTTGGGTTAATGGTATTTTCAGCATATACGTTAGTTCAAATGTGAAATATGCATGCAATTGGTTTAGTTTGGCATTCATAATTTGCTTTATTCGAGCCTTGTCGCTTTGGCTGATTGTGATTGGCCTTATGATGAATTCACAAACTTGTGACATGCTGCCAAAAAGTTTTCTCTAGTTTTTCTTTGTAATAGATGAATGTTCTTTGTACATGGTGTAGAATAAATTATGTACAGTCAAGCAACAGCAAAAGCAGTTTTTCATGTTCATAACAGGTAAGGTCCTTGTTTGTCATGCAATTTTAATGCCTCAGCTGAGCAGAGCGGACAAAGTTAGGGCAGATGTCCAGAAAGTGCTTTCTTCTATTTTAAAATGTATTTATATGCAAAGATTATTTTCCTAAGAATTTAAATACGATATAGCCAGCGTTGGGATATCTGTGCATTAATATTGAGTTTATTTTTGTCTGGCTTCGAACTAACAAGGGAGAGGTTGCCGGTTCAAATTTGCCAGCAATTATCTCTCTGCAAAAGAAAACTTGTCAGTTTCCTGAAAACTTAAGAATTCATTTAAAGTAGTCGAAGAATTCATTGAAATAAGCCCAAAAGTTGCTTTTTAAATAAATTTAAAGATATTTAAGTGTGTCTGAGCTGGGAGCGAGTGGATGGCTCATGTTTTCTGGGATCTAATTCCGACTATGGCTTTGGAGTGTGCCACAAGCTGTGGCACTAGTTATTGTCACACCTGGACAGCACAACAGATTTGCATATTTGCAAACAAACATGAAAATATTCATGCAAATAATTGGGCGTGGCAGCTGGCGCGACCGGCTATCATTGACTGCCTTGTTGTTGTTTTAGTATGAGTATCATGTCAAAGTAAAGTGCACGCGGGTAGCCAAATTATGCGCATTTATTTAGCCGTTAATGCTTTTTACATTTTCCGACCCGCATAAGTTTTCGCGACAAGCTCCGGGCCGCCGCCTGGTTCTGGAGACAGGCTACATAGAGTATATGCTCTATCTCTAGCCTGAGTTGCCGTTACATGGGGAATTAGTGCGCATAATTTCATAAACAACAGCGACAACAACAATAGCAACAAACAACAACTAGCAGAACTGGCAAAGTTGTTGGCAACCATCGCGTTGGCCTGAGCAAATATTTTGGAGCTCTATCCCCACCCTTCGCCTTGCCCCGCTGCCCCTTGGGAAATATGTTCGCTTCTGCTGTTGATTCTGCTGGCAGTGGCAAAACATTCAGAATCATATGCGAAGTCCGCATATAAAGCTATGCTGGGAATTTGCATTGCACTTACATGAAAAAGTAAGCGAATGAATAAAAAAAATAACCAACTAAAACAACGTTCGTATATTATGTATGCTGTATACATATCTGTACTAAATTGCACATGAAGTGATTTCAAGCGTAAGAAATGCCTGCAACATTGACGGCAGCTGCAAGGGGCAAGGGGCAGGCCATCGATATTATACACATTGGTGTGCTCTCCCGTATGCGGAATATGCATATAAAAACTTGGCGCTGTTTCAAAGTTGTGTACGAGCGAAAAAAAAGTAAAATAAAATAAAATAAAAACACATTTCATATAAAAATTACAACAACGCACACGAGACTATCCTTATGATGAACGAGGCGTGCTGGGTCTCATGTTTTTGTTGTTGCAATCTTTTCGTTCAACAAAATGCCGGAAGCCAGAAAAATGCCTCGAAAGTTGACTCGACTCTACTTGCCTCGCCTCTACTCGACTCGAGTTGACTGCGGAGCAATTTGATTAAATGCATTGCGTACATTTTACAAAATAAATTAGCTGCTTTTCAAGATATTATTTATGTTAACAAAAGTATTCCAAGTGCGTGCATTTTTCTTTTCTTTTCTCAACTAATTGAATTTTTGTTCTCTTTTGTCTCTTTGCAGTGCAAAGTCTAAATACAAACGCTAAGCAACAGTATTTTTGCTCAACATTAAAATAATACTAAGTATACCTAAATACATAATAATTCGATGCAAAATCTATAGCAGTCATTAAATGTTGCATTTTTAAACGGAAGAAAAACCAAAAAAGAAGCAAAACATAAGCATAAATCACACGAGACGAAGATTTATAGAACGCAGCGAGCTTAAGCCAACAAAAAAAAGAAGAAAAAAATATATATTAAATAACGTAGTACGACTAGTAAAAGACACCACCAATTTAATTTGCAAGGAAACTAAAAACAAAACATAAAAAAAAAAGTAAATAAAACTTAAAAAATTAGCCAAAAATCTAATAGATGTCTGTGTGCATTATATTTTGATCATATATGAACAATATATTGTACTATATAGCATAAAACAAGTATATTTACAACATTAGCTATAAAACGCAGCTAAAAGACAAACAGTTAAAAGAAATAAGAAAAATATTAACGACCGCCATTCGGTCAACAATTTGAAGATAATATCAATATAAAAGACAGCATAATATAAAAAGAAAACACAAACAAACAAACAAACAAAAAATGGAGGACAATAACACAAGCAGCAGTGCGAGCGGTGCGCCCATCAAACTTGAGGATCCATCGGTGACACTCACAATAAGGCTGATTATGCAAGGAAAGGTAAGTCAGAAGTGCACATTTTAATATTATTTATATTTATCCAATTATTTATTATTGTAGCACATAGAGTTTAAGGTTTTAAGAGCTTTAATGTCTAGCTCAGCCAAGCTCTTAAAGTCAAAGAGCTTATTTTAAGTATTAAAGCTTTTGCTTCTTAAGAACGACTTCTGGGCATACAATTATCTTATAGCTTGATTTTCATCTGAAAGCAGCGTACCCGAGGAGCTTTAAGATTATATAGTATCTTATTATTATTGAGTTTAATTTTGAAATCTCAAGTGAAAAGTCTTTTCAACGCTTGACTCGTGCTTCAAAGTGACTTTTTTGAGTTAGGCTCTCAGGCCATGCTTATAAGAATATGTTAACTGTTTTGTCAGCCGACATGTTAAGCTGACGGCGTCAACAGGATTTTAGCGAATCAGTTCACATGACAATCTTTCTCCCCAACTCAAAAAAGGGACAATATATGTCTCGAACGGATCCGGCTGAATTTTAAATGGAAAATGGGAAGTTCAGTTTTTTTTTTAAAATGTACGCCCAACTGCGTTCCATTGAATTTTGCCGTTTTAAATATTTACAGAAATTTTCCGAAACCTTTTAAAACCAATAAAATGCGGAGGGGAGATATGCAAATACATCCACAAATGGCTGCAGGCTGAAAATAAAAGTAATTAATATTATAAATTAATGGGGGTATTTTTTTTATTATGCTAATTTAAATTAAACACGCCACACTTCACGCATTATTACGAACCGAAGAAGAATGAAATGAAATGAAATGAAATGAAATGAGATGAAATGCACAATATATGTAAATACAAAAAATGATATGAAAGTCATAAAAAGCGAAGCAAGCATCGGCTATTAAATAATCATTACAGCCCGCAAATATGAGTAATAAAAAAGGGGCACACATCAATAAATGACATAAACATAAAAAACAGAAACGTGGACGATATCAGAAAATTGTATATATACCATATATACCCAACCAGTTTTTAGCAGCAGCTGATTGAATACAACAAAAATATGCATAAAATGCAAAATACCCATTTATCATGCATAATTAAGCGCTTATTTAAACTGAATGATTACCAAATGCACGGAAAGAAATGCAAATAATGTTAAATATTGTTGATGAACCAAGCGAAATATTTAACAAATATGTTTTAAAAGAAGATATTTAATATAAGATACCAGTTCAAACTGATTCTTAAAAATGAAAGGATATTCCATACACATAGAAAATATAATCAATTAGTATTTTAGGGGTAGAATTTCTCTCAAGAAGTCGTAGACCTATCAAACAATCAAAGGTGTATTCTCAAACGTATTCAGTTCTGAATATGATGTTTTAAAGTTATTAAAAGAACAAATTGGAATATATATACTAAACAAATATATGTTCAAACTAATCTGATTCAATGCATTGGATAATCATCGCTCGTTTACTCGAATATAAGCTATATGAAAACCGAGTATCATTGCAAATCTAAAGCTTTTCTTTCAAACTTAAAACTTGAAACACGCTAAAGCAGTGTAAATATCAGCTTATTTATTTAATCACACTCAACAGTCATTAACAACAATTATTCAACGACATTAGCTACAGTAACTAAACACAAATCAGCTTCGAAAAGCTGTCTGGCAACGTCGCGACGGCTGCGCCACTTCAGCCAAATGCCGAGATGTTGCTTGGTGTCGAGTGTCGACTGGCTAAAAGGCACGTGCTGAGCCGTCAAAAGCTTTTTAGCCAAAGCTGTCGTTTATCTTGCGGCTCATTACTTAAAAGCCGATTTGTAGCAAGTGCCTGATATGGATTTAAAAGTGTGACCAGCCTTTGATTTAAATATTGTAAATATATATGCATATATAAGTATATACAGGCATAAATAATAATACGACTGTCGCTGTTGTTGCCAAGTTATGTATGCACTGAATGGCAGCGACAGGTGCAACAACAGCAGCAGAAGCTGCAGATAAGGCGACAGAGCGTCGCAACGGCAACCGCAAGGGTGCACCAGAGGGTGAGCAAGCGAGGGGGGGGGGGATGTGGGGCGTTTGGCGAAGGCGGAATGACAGTGCTTCTACACATTACATGATGTGTAGTTGAAAATTGGCAAATAGGCAAAAATATCTGCAGACAATTTATAATAAAAATAGCAACACACACACACGCAGAGATACACACGCACACACTCACAAAAAGAGAGAGACACGTAGAGATACGTTAAACAGCAAAAACAACAACAAATGACAGCATTATTTCTTTGCCAAACGCTTGCGAAGTGTGGCCAGAGTTTCGATCAACGGCAACGGCATAGCAATAGCATCCGTGAATAATTGCGCCCTCTCTTCTTGGGCCAAAACTAAAATTAAGTGTATTCGCCTATGTAAATGTAAATTGTAAAAATTGTTGCTCATTTTGCATTACTTTTATTTTTATATTTATTTTTGGCCACTTTTCGTTGTGTTCGATTTTTATTTCATTCGCGCTCTGCACACAAGGATTCAGGCAATAAATTCTCAAGACACTTTGAACAGCGCCGACTGCTCCCTGCTGCGCCTCCCCTCCCCTCTTCGTCTTCTATGTATTGGTCTTTTGATCGATAGTTATAGATTAGCGTGATTTATGAGCCGACGCCAGCGTCGCTGCTGTCTGCCGTTGGCTGAGTTGACAAATCCGCACATACACATACACACATCTGTGTCATGTATGTAAATACATTTTTTTTTGAGCGCAATGCAAATCAAGTAGCAAATAATAAAAAAAAAAGAAAACAACAAAAATACAGTAAATTTTCAATTGACATGAGCGTTGAGCTTTGAATGTACACAAACAACATCCGTGTTGACTTGTTTAATTGAGCATGAAATGAAGGGATCTCTGCATGTACCCTGTATTTATAAAATGCCCGAAAGACGGACATTATAGAATTGTGGAACGTGCTTGTAACAATGTCATAATATCTAATTATTAACTAATAGTGGGTATATATTAGTCGAAAACTATCGCCTAGACCAATTGAATCTTTAGAATGTACAGCGGCGGAGCTGTGCTTATGTTAAGATTTAGGCAGTTGACAAGTCTCCCAGTTAGTTAAAGATAAATGTCGATAAAGGCACATTCGGGTTGAAACATGATTAAACCCCATATTCGGATTTGTCACAGATATATGCAATTAAATAGCTCACTCACTGTATATGTATTTGTTCGCACAAAAGTATACACATTTATATCGAAACATGCTTCTAAATATATTATTAAACAATTTTATGACTTTAAATTGTTAATTAAATACTGGCCTAATGCTTGGCATTCGATTTGAGCCAACTTCAACAATAAAGCTAAAAAGACATTTGAACGAATCTCATAATATTTGCTGATAAACACTTTTAAGATATTTTGCCCTCAATTTGCAGCAGCTAGGCATTATGTAAAACATTTTTGGTTGGTGTGGCATAAATAAATCGGTTAATTATAATTAGACAAGAGTCTGTAAAATATTGCGCATCGAACACAAAATTCACGTCTAGATGCTGCATTCTTCTACTCTATGCAATTTCACTAATTAAAAATGCATGATTCAAAAATAACAACAAGACTAACAACGGCAACAGCAACAACAAAAACAACAGCTGCAGAGAATACGTATAGTACGTCTGACAATTGCAAAATACTCGATAATTCTGGGCGAGAGTGCAACCCACTTTCAGCTTGGTTTCTATGCAATATGCGGCTGACTGCCAAGAAGCAACAACAACAACAACTACAACAATGGCAACAGATACAACAACAAAATAGAAATACCAAAACCTAAACAACACAAAAAGTGCAGTCAGTTTTTGTTTTTTTTTTCTCTAGTTTTTTTTTTTTTATAATTTTCACATTGTCGCATGGCTGAGTTTTCCTTTTTTGTTGGTTTTGTCATAAATTAATTAGCTGCGTCACGACTTTGCATTCAACTCCGGTTTGACTCATGCAACCGACGCCTGTCGCTGACTTTCACACAAAACTGCAAACAATTGCAAGCAATGTTAACCAATGGAAGAAAAAAAATAATAATAAATAAAAAAAAAAAAAATAAAAAACAATAAGACCCAGTTAATTAAAGACGCAAAATGCCAGCAACTTATGGCCTTGACTTGCACTCATAAATCTTGAGCACTCGCATAATTCCGAATATTTGCAACTGACGTCCGAGTATTTGTATTTCTAAGCGTTATAATAAAGGCTATTGTTTTTTATATTCTGGCATATTTAATGCCCACTGTGAAATCTGTTGTCTGTATCCAACATAGACTTATGGAGCTCTTTTAAATTTTCAAATGTGTTTGCTTTAAATTTGATAACAGCTCACTCATGCATAAATGCAATTTAAAGTTGTTTATTTTGTCTTATGTTTAGATTTTGAGCTTTTTTAAATTACTTTTTATTTGGTTATGAATATTTAATGCATTATTTTCATTTGAATTTTGCTCACCAGAAGATAGATGTGGAAAAGTAAGGATATCTTCCTCAGCAGAAGATTTAATACCTTTTTTGACATTTGCGTTTTGCAATATGTAAGAATAGTGAAGCTCGTACAAGCTGAGCTTAATGAAATAAGACATATGACACGACAAACCCACAATACCCTCTACAAGAGTATACAAATTAAAATAAAATTACAGCTGCATTTGAACCTCAGGCACCCAAGTCATGAAGGCTGATAACATCACGTGCATGTTTTGCTTCAAAGGCTTGAACGGCCTTTTCCCCCAATACGGGGTTGAATTTTCCCAAACCCCATCTAAGCGCTCACTTTGGTTCCAAAAAGGTAGCATCAGTTTAGCCTTTTTTAATCAAATGAAAGTTAATGCTATTCTTTGCTTATGTTTTGCTCTGCTTATAGAAACATTTGAACAGATTTCTAATTCAACATAGTCTTCTAGTTTTACCCACAAAAGTCCCATTAACATTCTAACTGTGCTATTTAGTTTGCCTAACTATCTCAAAA